ACTATAGACTAGACTATAGACTAGACTATAGACTAGACTATAGACTAGACTAGACTATAGACTAGACTATAGACTAGACTATAGACTAGACTATAGACTAGACTATAGACTAGACTATAGACTAGACTATAGACTAGACTATAGACTAGACTATAGACTAGACTATAGACTAGACTATAGACTAGACTATAGACTAGACTATAGACTAGACTATAGACTAGACTATAGACTAGACTAGACTAGACTATAGACTAGACTATAGACTAGACTATAGACTAGACTATAGACTAGACTATAGACTAGACTATAGACTAGACTATAGACTAGACTATAGACTAGACTATAGACTAGACTATAGACTAGACTATAGACTAGACTATAGACTAGACTACACTAGACTAGATTAGACTAGACTATAGACTAGACTACTATAGACTTGGCTAGACAATAGACTAGACTATAGACTAGAATATGGTCTAGTCTATAGTCTAGTATATAGTATAGTCTATAGTATAGCATATAGTATAGTCTATAGTATAGCATATAGTATAGTATAGGCTATAGTTTAGTCTTAAGTTTATTCTATAGTCTAGTGTATATTCTAGTCTATAGTCTATATTCTAGTCTATAGTCTAGTCTATAGTCTAGTCTATAGTCTAGTCTATAGTCTAGTCTATAGTCTAGTCTATAGTCTAGTCTATAGTCTAGTCTATAGTCTAGTCTATAGTCTAGTCTATAGTCTAGTCTATAGTCTAGTCTATAGTCTAGTCTATAGTCTAGTCTATAGTCTAGTCTATAGTCTAGTCTATAGTCTAGTCTATAGTCTAGTCTATAGTCTAGTCTATAGTCTAGTCTATAGTCTAGTCTATAGTCTAGTCTATAGTCTAGTCTATAGTCTAGTCTATAGTCTAGTCTATAGTCTAGTCTATAGTCTAGTCTATAGTCTAGTCTATAGTCTAGTCTATAGTCTAGTCTATAGTCTAGTCTATAGTCTAGTCTATAGTCTAGTCTATAGTCTAGTCTAGTAGTCTATAGTCTAGTCTATAGTCTAGTCTATAGTCTAGTCTATAGTCTAGTCTATAGTCTAGTCTATAGTCTAGTCTATAGTCTAGTCTATAGTCTAGTCTATAGTCTAGACATAGACTAGACTATAGACTAGACTATAGACTAGACTATAGACTAGACTATAGACTAGTCTATAGTCTAGTCTATAGTCTAGTCTATAGTCTAGTCTATAGTCTAGTCTATAGTCTAGTCTATAGTCCTAGTCTATAGTCTAGTCTATAGTCTAGTCTATAGTCTAGTCTATAGTCTAGTCTATAGTCTAGTCTATAGTCTAGTCCTATAGTCTATCTATAGTCTAGTCTATAGTGTAGTCTATAGTGTAGTCTATAGTCTAGTCTATAGTCTAGTCTATAGTCTAATCTATAGTCCTAGTCTATAGTCTAGTCTATAGTCTAAGTCTATAGTCTAGTCTATAGTCTAGTCTATAGTCTAGTCTATAGTCTAGTCTATAGTCTAGTCTATAGTCTAGTCTATAGTCTAGTCTATAGTCTAGTCTTATAGTCTAGTCTATAGTCTAGTCTATAGTCTAGTCTATAGTCTATCTATAGTCTAGTCTATAGTCTAGTCTATAGTCTAGTCTATAGTCTAGTCTATAGTCTAGTCTATAGTCTAATCTACAGTCTAATCCATAGTCTTATCTATAGTCTAATCTATAGTTTAGCTTATTTACTAATCTGTAGACTAGTGGAGTGCAGAGTGGAGTTGTCCAGCAGTGGGAACGTAGCTTTTAAAGAGATAATTTGTTATCGATATATTACCTACATCTTTCTTAAATAACCGATAATTCTATTATTGTGTACAATTTCTTTTTATTAGACTTTGTTTTATTTTTGTTGTAATTTTAAATTTTCGTTTAATTATTTTGCATTTTTTAATTTTATTTTATAATTTTTAATTCGTTTATTTATTAAATTATGTGTGAGTTGAGTGTGTGTTATTAAAGTTAAATTTTAAAGTAAAATTTGCTTAACAGTAAATTTGTTTTAAATGTTATTTTGTTTTCACTTTTCACTTTTCGTTTTTTTTTTTTTTTTTGTTAAATATATATACTACATTATTTTAGAATACAATATACATACATTATTTTTATTTATATTTTTGTTATATATATAACTATTTATATATAATATATAAATACAAAGGACATATAAAAAATGTTTTTCATTTTATCAATTAAACAGTTAAATAAAAACATATTTCTCATTAGAGTAGATAAAAAAAGTATTGCGTTTTAGCTGCTTTTTATATTACAAAGTTAAAAAAATATATATAAAAAATAATAATTTATAATGAGTTTACATGCAAATACATAAATATAAAACAAAAATACATTATTATAAATATTACGAATTTTGTTAACAAAGAGAGAGAGAGAACAAATTATAAAAGGATTTTAAATAAAATTTTTTAAATTAAGAGATTATTTAGAGAGCTAAGTTGGTTTCAATACATTTTTCACAAACTACAAATTTGAATTTCAAACTTTATATTATTTTTCAATATAATACCAGGAATTCAGTTTCAGCTTTCTTTTCAATTTTTCCTTGAAAACTTTAAAAATATTTTTAATTTTTAGAGAATCTGTTGCGTATTGAAATTGTTACCAAATTAATTCCCTTTCAATCTCTTTGTATGAGCATATATTTTCTTTAAATTATTAAAACTTGCTTTATGTTCAAGTTAAAAAATATTAATTGTTTTATTGTAAAATTTGCCAGTTTTATTAAAAATCTTTCTTCAGACAACTAAAGGCAAACATTCTGTTCTGAAAATGTATACTTAAGAGAGTGGGAGAGAGAGAACACTTAACTAGTCTATTGACTGGTCAATGGACAAGTCTTCGGTACAGCCTATAGTCTAGTCTATAGTCTAGTCTATAGACTAGTCTAGTCTATAGTCTAGTCTAGTCTAGTCTAGTCTAGTCTAGTCTAGTCTATAGTCTAGTCTAGTCTATAGTCTAGTCTAGTCTATAGTCTAGTCTATAGTCTAGTCTATAGTCTAGTCTATAGTCTAGTCTATATTCAAGTCTATAGTCAAGTCTATAGTCTAGATTATAGTCTAGTCTATAGTCTAGTCTATAGTCTAGTCTATAGTCTAGTCTATAGTCTAGTCTATAGTCAAGTCTATAGTCAAGTCTATAGTCTAGATTATAGTCTAGTCTATAGTCTAGTCTATAGTCTAGTCTATAGTCTAGTCTATAGTGTAGTCTATAGTCTAGTCTATAGTCTATAGTCTAGTCTATAGTCTAGTCTATAGTCTAGTCTATAGTCTAGTCTATAGTCTAGTCTATAGTCTAGTCTATAGTCTAGTCTATAGTCTAGTCTATAGTCTAGTCTATAGTCTAGTCTATAGTCTAGTCTATAGTCTAGTCTATAGTCTAGTCTATAGTCTAGTCTATAGTCTAGTCTATAGTCTAGTCTATAGTCTAGTCTATAGTCTAGTCTATAGTCTAGTCTATAGTCTAGTCTATAGTCTAGTCTATAGTCTAGTCTATAGTCTAGTCTATAGTCTAGTCTATAGTCTAGTCTATAGTCTAGTCTATAGTCTAGTCTATAGTCTAGGTCTATAGTTAGTCTCGTCTATAGTTCTAGTCTATAGTCTAGTCTAAGTCTAGTCTATAGTCTAGTCTTAGTCTAGTCTATAGTCTAGTCTATAGTCTAGTCTATAGTCTATAGTCTAGTCTAGTCTAGTCTATAGTCTAGTCTATAGTCTAGTCTATAGTCTAGTCTATAGTCTAGTCTATAGTTAGTCTATAGTCTAGTCTATAGTCTAGTCTATAGTCTAGTCTATAGTCTAGTCTATAGTCTAGTCTATAGTCTAGTCTATAGTCTAGTCTATAGTCTAGTCTATAGTCTAGTCTATAGTCTAGTCTATAGTCTAGTCTATAGTCTAGTCTATAGTCTAGTCTATAGTCTAGTCTATAGTCTAGTCTATAGTCTAGTCTATAGTCTAGTCTATAGTCTAGTCTATAGTCTAGTCTATAGTCTAGTCTATAGTCTAGTCTATAGTCTAGTCTATAGTCTAGTCTATAGTCTAGTCTATAGTCTAGTCTATAGTCTAGTCTATAGTCTAGTCTATAGTCTAGTCTATAGTCTAGTCTATAGTCTAGTCTATAGTCTAGTCTATAGTCTAGTCTATAGTCCTAGTCTATAGTCTAGTCTATAGTCTAGTCTATAGTCTAGTCTATAGTCTAGTCTATAGTCTAGTCTATAGTCTAGTCTATAGTCTAGTCTATAGTCTAGTCTATAGTCTAGTCTATAGTCTAGTCTATAGTCTAGTCTATAGTCTAGTCTATAGTCTAGTCTATGTCTAGTCTATAGTCTAGTCTATAGTCTAGTCTATAGTCTAGTCTATAGTCTAGTCTATAGTCTAGTCTATAGTCTAGTCTATAGTCTAGTCTATAGTCTAGTCTATAGTCTAGTCTATAGTCTAGTCTATAGTCTAGTCTATAGTCTAGTCTATATAGTCTAGTCTATAGTCTAGTCTATAGTCTAGTCTATAGTCTAGTCTATACTTTAGTCAATATGCTAGTCTATAGTCTAGTCTATATCCGAGTCTATAGTATGGTCTATAGTCTAGTTTATAGTTTAGTCTATAATCTAGTCTATAGTCTAGTCTACAGTGTAGCATACAGTCTAATAGTCTAGTCTACAATCTAGCCTAAGTACTACGAAGTTAAAATTAATTTCGAAAATTCTTTTGAATGGAACACTTTCAAACAAGTCTAAAACCGAAAAGTGGTCAATTAAGAGATTTCATAAAATTTGACAAATTTTACAATAGGACTCTCTTACTTAAAACTAAAATTCTTTAAAAAGCTTTTTAATTGTTTTTCGTTTTGATTGTTTTGTAAAATTAAATTAAATATGTAAATGAAATGTTAAATATTACACATAGTTGTTTTTTTTTTTTTTCATTTAGGTGTACAATTATAATTTTTTTGAAATGACTATACTATCAGTCCATGTTTGTTTGTTGCGTTTTTTTTTTTTGTTTAACAAACATTTTAGTTTGTTTAAAAGAAATGCTTGGTTTTCTTTGATAATTGAGTTTTTTCATAAAGATTTTGTTCGGTTTTTTTCGAGGGATAAGGTGGGGTATAAAAGGAAAACGTTTGTTTAAAAAATGTACAAGTTTTTTTTAAGTTAATAAAGGGCAGGGTTTGTAGGAGTAGAGGAAAGTGTGATAGAGAGTAAAGGTAGAGAGTGATGTTTTTCTTGTTTTTGTTCCTTAATTATTAAACTTATATATGACTATAATTAAATGGCATAAATTCTTTTAATTTTTTTTTTTGTTTTTATCTCGTGTTCGAATGTGATTATTTTTACTTAAATAGTTTAACAAATCTCATGAGATGTTAATCATCAGAGAATATCGGGTGTATTGTTGTCATCGTGTGAATGTTGCAGCAGACCTTTTCTTTCGTCTGGTGCTGTACTTAAATTATTTTCCGGCACTACTGCCGGTTCCACTATGGCATCGGCATACATGGATTCATAGACAGGATTGGCAAAGTTGCCCTGGAATAGAAAGTTAATCAAACAATTAAGCATCATTATGATTTGAATAAAAAAAATGTTATTACCTTATCATCTTCGTGTACAAAGGCGGGAGTTTCATCGGCATCTCCCCGATACATGGGATTCGTAAGCATTATTTCGACATTTTCGGTAAGACGGGCATGAGAGAAGGGTTGTGATATGCGATGTTTTCTATAAGAATGGAAAATATAAAAATTTAGTACAAAATTTTAAAGTAAAACGTTAGGCTAGTTAGACTTAGTTTATAGTCTAGTCTATAGTTTAATCTGTAGTCTAGTCTATATTCTAGTATATAGTCGAGTCTATAGTCTAGTTTATAGTCTAGTCTATATTCTAGTCTATATTCTAGTCTATAGTATAGTCTATAGTGTAGTCTATAGTCTAGTCTATAGGCTAGTCTATAGTCTAGTCTATAGTCTAGTCTATAGTCTAGTCTACAGTGTAGTCTATAGTCTAGTCTACAGTCTAGTCTATAGTCTAGTCTATAGTCTAGTCTACAGTCTAGTCTATAGTCTAGTCTATAGTCTAGTCTATAGTCTAGTCTATAGTCTAGTCTATAGCCTAGTCTATAGCCTAGTCTATAGTCTAGTCTATAGTCTAGTCTATAGTCTAGTCTATAGTCTAGTCTATAGTCTAGTCTATAGTCTAGTCTATAGTCTAGTCTATAGTCTAGTCTATAGTCTAGTCTATAGTCTAGTCTATAGTCTAGTCTATAGTCTAGTCTAGTCTAGTCTAGTCTATAGTCTAGTCTATAGTCTACAGTCTAGTCTAAAGTCTAGTCTATAGTCTAGTCTATAGTCTAGTCTATAGTCTAGTCTATAGTCTAGTCTATAGTCTAGTCTATAGTCTAGTCTATAGTCTAGTCTATAGTCTAGTCTATAGTCTAGTCTATAGTCTAGTCTATAGTCTAGTCTATAGTCTAGTCTATAGTCTAGTCTATAGTCTAGTCTATAGTCTAGTCTATAGTCTAGTCTATAGTCTAGTCTATAGTCTAGTCTATAGTCTAGTCTTATAGTCTAGTCTATAGTCTAGTCTATAGTCTAGTCTATAGTCTAGTCTATAGTCTAGTCTATAGTCTAGTCTATAGTCTAGTATATGTCAGTCTAGTCTATCTATAGTCTAGTCTATAGTCTAGTCTATAGTCTAGCTATAGTCTAGGTCTAGTCTAGTCTATAGTCTAGTCTATAGTCTAGTCTATAGTCTAGTCTATAGTCTAGTCTATAGTCTAGTCTATAGTCTAGTCTATAGTCTAGTCTATAGTCTAGTCATATAGTCTAGTCCTATAGTCTATCTATAGTCTAGTCTATAGTCTAGTCTATGCTAGTCTATGTCGTATAGTCTAGTCTATATGTCCTAGTCTATAGTCTAGTCTATAGTCTAGTCTATAGTCTAGTCTATAGTCTAGTGCTATAGTCTAGTCTATTAGTCTAGTCTATAGTCTAGTCTATAGTCTAGTCTATAGTCTAGTCTATAGTCTAGTCTATTAGTCTAGTCTATAGTCTAGTCTATAGTCTAGTCTATAGTCTAGTCTAGTAGTCTAGTCTATAGTCTAGTCTATAGTCTAGTCTATAGTCTAGTCTATAGTCTAGTCTATAGTCTAGTCTATAGTCTAGTCTATAGTCTAGTCTATAGTCTAGTCTATAGTCTAGTCTATAGTCTAGTCTATAGTCTAGTCTATAGTCTAGTCTATAGTCTAGTCTATAGTTTAGTCTATAGTCTAGTCTATAGTCTAGTCTATAGTCTAGTCTATAGTCTAGTCTATAGTCTAGTCTATGGTCTAGTATATGGTCTAGTCTATAGTGTAGTCTATAGTCTAGTCTATAGTCTAGTCTATAGTCTAGTCTATAGTCTAGTCTATAGTCTAGTCTATAGTCTAGTCTATAGTCTAGTCTATAGTCTAGTATATAGTCTAGTCTATAGTGTAGTCTATAGTCCAGTCTATAGTCTAGTCTATAGTTTAGTCTAGTCTAGTCTATAGTCTAGCTTATAGTCTAGTCTATAGCTTATTCTATGGTCTAGTATATAGTCTAGTCTACAGTCTAGTCTATAGTCTAGTCTATAGTCTAGTCTATAGTCTAGTCTATAGTCTAGTTTATAGTCTAGTCTATTGTCTAGTCTATAGTCTAGTCTATAGTCTATAGTTGTCTATAGTCTAGTCTATAGTCTAGTCTATAGTCTAGTCTATAGTCTAGTCTATAGTCTAGTCTATAGTCTAGTCTATAGTCTAGTCTATAGTCTAGTCTATAGTCTAGTCTATAGTCTAGTCTATAGTCTAGTCTATAGTCTAGTCTATAGTCTAGTCTATAGTCTAGTCTATAGTCTAGTCTATAGTCTAGTCTATAGTCTAGTCTATAGTCTAGTCTATAGTCTAGTCTATAGTCTAGTCTATAGTCTAGTCTATAGTCTAGTCTATAGTCTAGTCTATAGTCTAGTCTATAGTCTAGTCTATAGTCTAGTCTATAGTCTAGTCTATAGTCTAGTCTATAGTCTAGTCTATAGTCTAGTCTATAGTCTAGTCTATAGTCTAGTCTATAGTCTAGTCTATAGTCTAGTCTAGTCTATAGTCTAGTCTATAGTCTAGTCTATAGTCTAGTCTATAGTCTAGTCTATAGTCTAGTCTATAGTCTAGTCTATAGTCTAGTCTATAGTCTAGTCTATAGTCTAGTCTATGGTCTAGTATATGGTCTAGTCTATAGTGTAGTCTATAGTCTAGTCTATAGTCTAGTCTATAGTCTAGTCTATAGTCTAGTCTATAGTCTAGTCTATAGTCTAGTCTATAGTCTAGTCTATAGTCTAGTCTATAGTCTAGTCTATAGTCTAGTCTATAGTCTAGTCTATAGTCTATAGTCTAGTCTATAGTCTAGTCTATAGTCTAGTCTATAGTCTAGTCTATAGTCTAGTCTATAGTCTAGTCTATAGTCTATAGTCTAGTCTATAGTCTAGTCTATAGTCTAGTCTATAGTCTAGTCTATAGTCTAGTCTATAGTCTAGTCTATAGTCTAGTCTATAGTCTAGTCTATAGTTTAGTCTATAGTCTAGTCTATAGTATAGTCTATAGTCTAGTCTATAGTCTAGTCTATAGTCTAGTCTATGGTCTAGTATATGGTCTAGTCTATAGTGTAGTCTATAGTCTAGTCTATAGTCTAGTCTATAGTCTAGTCTATAGTCTAGTCTATAGTCTAGTCTATAGTCTAGTCTATAGTCTAGTCTATAGTCTAGTCTATAGTCTAGTCTATAGTCTAGTATATAGTCTAGTCTATAGTGTAGTCTATAGTCCAGTCTATAGTCTAGTCTATAGTTTAGTCTAGTCTAGTCTATAGTCTAGCTTATAGTCTAGTCTATAGTTTATTCTATGGTCTAGTATATAGTCTAGTCTATAGTATAGTCTACAGTCTAGTCTATAGTCTAGTCTATAGTCTAGTCTATAGTCTAGTCTATAGTCTAGTCTATAGTCTAGTTTATAGTCTAGTCTATTGTCTAGTCTATAGTTTATTCTAGTCTATAGTCTAGTCTACAGTCTAGTCTATAGTCTAGTCTATAGTCTAGTCTATAGTCTAGTCTACAGTCTAGTCTATAGTCTAGTCTATATTCTAGTCTATAGTCTAGTCTATGGTCTAGTATATGGTCTAGTCTATAGTGTAGTCTATAGTCTAGTCTATAGTCTAGTCTATAGTCTAGTCTATTCTAGTCTATAGTCTAGTCTATAGTCTAGTCTATAGTCTAGTCTATAGTCTAGTCTACAGTCTAGTCTATAGTCTAGTCTATAGTCTAGTCTATAGTCTAGTCTAGTGTAGTCTATAGTCCAGTCTATAGTCTAGTCTATAGTCTAGTCTATAGTCTAGTCTATAGTCTAGTCTATAGTCTAGTCTATAGTCTAGTCTATAATCTAGTCTATAGTCTAGTCTATAGTCTAGTCTATAGTCTAGTCTATAGTCTAGTCTATAGTCTAGTCTATAGTCTAGTCTATAGTCTAGTCTATAGTCTAGTCTATAGTCTAGTCTATAGTCTAGTCTATAGTCTAGTCTATAGTCTAGTCTATAGTCTAGTCTATAGTCTAGTCTATAGTCTAGTCTATAGTCTAGTCTATAGTCTAGTCTATAGTCTAGTCTATAGTCTAGTCTATAGTCTAGTCTATAGTCTAGTCTATAGTCTAGTCTATAGTCTAGTCTATAGTCTAGTCTATAGTCTAGTCTATAGTCTAGTCTATAGTCTAGTCTATAGTCTAGTCTATAGTCTAGTCTATAGTCTAGTCTATAGTCTAGTCTATAGTCTAGTCTATATCTAGTCTATAGTCTAGTCTATAGTCTAGTCTATAGTCTAGTCTATAGTCTAGTCTATAGTCTAGTCTATAGTCTAGTCTATAGTCTAGTCTATAGTCTAGTCTATAGTCTAGTCTATAGTCTAGTCTATAGTCTAGTCTATAGTCTAGTCTATAGTCTAGTCTATAGTCTAGTCTATAGTCTAGTCTATAGTCTAGTCTATAGTCTAGTCTATAGTCTAGTCTATAGTCTAGTCTATAGTCTAGTCTATAGTCTAGTCTATAGTCTAGTCTATAGTCTAGTCTATAGTCTAGTCTATAGTCTAGTCTATAGTCTAGTCTATAGTCTAGTCTATAGTCTAGTCTATAGTCTAGTCTAGTCTAGTCTTTAGTCTAGTCTTTAGTCTATAGTCTAGTCTATAGTCTAGTCTATAGTCTAGTCTATAGTCTAGTCTATAGTCTAGTCTATAGTCTAGTCTATAGTCTAGTCTATAGTCTAGTCTATAGTCTAGTCTATAGTCTAGTCTATAGTCTAGTCTATAGTCTAGTCTATAGTCTAGTCTATAGTCTAGTCTATAGTCTAGTCTATAGTCTAGTCTATAGTTTAGTCTATAGTCTAGTCTATAGTCTAGTCTATAGTCTAGTCTATAGTCTAGTCTATAGTCTAGTCTATGGTCTAGTATATGGTCTAGTCTATAGTGTAGTCTATAGTCTAGTCTATAGTCTAGTCTATAGTCTAGTCTATAGTCTAGTCTATAGTCTAGTCTATAGTCTAGTCTATAGTCTAGTCTATAGTCTAGTCTATAGTCTAGTCTATAGTCTAGTCTATAGTCTAGTCTATAGTCTAGTCTATAGTCTAGTATATAGTCTAGTCTATAGTGTAGTCTATAGTCCAGTCTATAGTCTAGTCTATAGTTTAGTCTAGTCTAGTCTATAGTCTAGCTTATAGTCTAGTCTATAGTTTATTCTATGGTCTAGTATATAGTCTAGTCTATAGTATAGTCTACAGTCTAGTCTATAGTCTAGTCTATAGTCTAGTCTATAGTCTAGTCTATAGTCTAGTTTATAGTCTAGTCTATTGTCTAGTCTATAGTTTATTCTAGTCTATAGTCTAGTCTACAGTCTAGTCTATAGTCTAGTCTATAGTCTAGTCTATAGTCTAGTCTATAGTCTAGTCTACAGTCTAGTCTATAGTCTAGTCTATATTCTAGTCTATAGTCTATGGTCTAGTATATGGTCTAGTCTATAGTGTAGTCTATAGTCTAGTCTATAGTCCAGTCTATTCTAGTCTATAGTCTAGTCTATTCTAGTCTATAGTCTAGTCTATAGTCTAGTCTATAGTATAGTCTATAGTCTAGTCTATAGTCTAGTCTATAGTCTAGTCTATAGTCTAGTCTATAGTCTAGTCTACAGTCTAGTCTATAGTCTAGTCTATAGTCTAGTATATAGTCTAGTCTATAGACTAGTCTATAGTCTAGTCTATAGTCCAGTCTATAGTCTATTGTCTAGTCTATAGTTAAGTCTATAATCTATTCTATTGTCTACACTATAGCCAGGCTATAGTATAGTCTACGGCCAGACTATAGTATAGTCTACGGCCAGACTATAGTATAGTCTACGGCCAGACTATAGCCTATTCTATAGTTCAGTCGATAGTCTAGTCTGTAGTCTGGTCTATAGTCTAGTCTATAGTCATGCCTATAGTCTTGTCTATAGTCTAGTCTATATTCTAGTCTATATTCTAATAAAGACTATTATTTTCTACTCACTTCAAAAAGTATAGACCACCACCAAACAGTGCCAGCACCAAAATGGCTATAGCCAAAACAATGGCTATTATTGACATAATATTGGCGGAATGTTCAGTTTCACTTCTTAAGGCATTGGCGCTATCAGCCAAACAGGTGGTAACATGGCCATCATCACACCTTAAAGGAAAGAAATAAAACAATTACTTATATATCAGCCCAATATCTCTTTCTCCTATCTCTAAACTTACTTGCACTCATTTATAGAACTGCCGGTCTGACAAACACCACATTCACCCACACACGCGGGTGGTACATCACAAGCATCGCCCTCCCATTCTCCAATGCATGAACAATGCGGTATCGCATATGCATCCAAATGACAAACACCGTTATTTTGACAGTAATGTATACAGGGATTATCCTCTGAAACGGGACGCTCACAGAAATCACCATTCCATTGATCGGTACAATTACACATGGCTACGTTTTTGATGACATGACAAGTGCCGCTATTTTGACAGATAATGCCGGTGCAGGGATTTCTTAGGGGAATTTCGGAGGCATCACAGACTGGGGGAGGATAAAAAAACGGAATGTATTAGTTAGTAGAGAAAATTTTCTATAAAAACGGAAAATTTATACAAAATATATAATTTACTTACATTGTGGTGGATTTGTAGTTTTACACAAATCAGTTTCACAACGATCTCCAGTATAGCGCTCGGAACAGGTACACATAAGCATTTGCTGGTTTTCAGTGCAAAGACCACCGTTCAGACAATAGTTGGCACATGAATCCGATTCACATTGTTCACCATAGAAACCCTGTAGACATTGGCATTGTGGTCCACCTTTGGTGCCTATATTACAAATGCCACCATTTTTACAGAAGCCAGAGCAGACATCCACCTCGCAACGTTTACCGGTGAAGCTAAAATATTATTATTAAAAAAACCTGTTCCTATAAAAAATATAACTGTAATAAACTTACCCGTCGGGACATTCACATTGCGTTGTACCCGTTAGCGTTTCACGACATATTCCACCATTAGCACATGTCAGATTAACACAATGTTCACATTGTTCTCCGATATACATGGGTGGACAGGTACATTTCATGTGATCATCAGTTATGAGACAAGAACCACCATTATGACAACGTGATTGACATTCTGGCACCGAAGTTTCACAACGAGGTCCCGACCAACCGGGCGTACAGCTGCATTTGAGTGGTGGTGGTTCTAGGGAACCCGGTATTTGTGGTGCTATTATACAAAGACCATAATTTTTACAATAATTCGAGCAACGATAATGTTCACAGAATTCTCCTTCGAACTGGGGCTGACAGACACATTTCGGTATATGATTGATGATTTTGCAGGTTCCTAGATTACATTTAAGGGGACAGTAGTCGGGTATGGTGGCATGATCTGCTACACATTTGCCATTGGCTACATGATAATCCTTGGGACATTTACATCTATAGCCGCTATCGGTTTCGGTGCTGAGTATACACAAAGAACCCATTTGTTTGCAGGGTTCCTTGGCGCAAGGGTTGGTTACTTAAATAGGTATAGTATTCAAATTAATAACGATTTTTTGATTTGCAGAATGAAGTGAAAACTTACTATTACGATTTTGTTTGAGTGGATGTAAAATACCGATATCTGAGGATCTATAGCCCTTAAGCAAATAAGTGCCATTGTCATTGCCAAATTTGTTCATTTTTATAATGCTTTGATCATATAATTTGATATATAAATAGTCCTCAAATACATCGATTTTTTGGGGTTTTTCTGAAAAGGAATTGCGGTTAGGTCCCTGAAGGTTTTTTATAAGGAAAACAACTTACCCTTATTCGAAAATCTTCTAACCACATTACGTTCTTTACCATTCAAACGACAAGTTTCTACAGTGCCCTTACGATAATCTGCCCAATACAGACGCCCTGTGGGATAATCTATAGCCAAACTAATGGGCCAACCCACATCACGTTCCACTAAACTGCGTTTGTTTTGACCATCCAGCGAAGCCATTAATATGCCATTTTCCAAAGTTGACCAAATCATAATGCGAGATTCTGGTTCTACTACAATATCGGTGGGATTTAAGCCGGTGGATACTAGAGAAGCATATTTCTTGCCATCAATGTCGGTAACAATGATTTCATTGTGTCGCGAATCGATTATATACACCAATTGGGTGACCCATTCTATGGCCAAGGATTTGGGATCATCCAAGGCGGGAATCTGTTGGAGAACAAAGTTAGTGTTCAATATATTTTCAAAACTAAAGTGCATCACAAACTCACATCAAATGCCTTTAACTCCTTGAGATCTCTTTTTACTCTCACAGCTGTTACTTCGGTATTGGGAGTGGCAATCTTCATGGTATGCACTTTACCATGATGAGAATCTATCCAGAAGAGTAAAGTATCCTTGGGTCTGATCAAAATATCGAAAACATCTATTTTCAAACTGTCCGTTTGGAAGAAACCCACTACTGTGGTGCCTTCCTGTTTGGCGGGCAAAATAAAACGGAATTCTTGTTCCGAGGCTAAAAGCAATACCTGATCGGGACCTAAGATAACAAATACAAACATAAATATTTCTAAATAAACAATTTTGATCTCCTTCCACTTACCCGAGGCCAAACAAGTATCATTTTTCTGCGATCCCTTGAAATAACCCTCCGTACATTTGCAATTGAAATGTCCCGCCTTCTTTTCTATACAAATCTGTGAGCAGGTGCCAAAACCACATACTGGAGGTTGGCAATTCATTTCATCCGAACCATCTATGCAATTATATTGACCATCACAGCGGAATATTTTCGAAATACAGTCCTCATTTTCACATTGGAATTGATCGTGACGACATTTGGGTAGAGCAGCACACACCTCATCGGCTTCATCTTCATTATTGCCGCAATCATTGACACCATCACACAATGCAGATTTGCGTATACACTTCAGATTGGAACACTTAAAGGCATTGGTGTGACAATGAATTAAAGCACAAGTTTCATAGCTCTCATCACTGCCATCGGTACAATCATCCCAACCATCACATTTCCAGCGAGCCATTATGCACTTGCCATTGGCACAAGTGAAATGATCATGGGGACAGGTACAGTTAACCTCATCGCTGCCATCCGGACAATCATCGTCTCCATCACACTGGTATTGTCTGGAAATGGTAAAAAGTTATTCTTAATTTCTTTACAAAACCAACAAAAATCCTCTCAAGACTTACTTATTGATGCAAGTATTAAAGGCGGCACATTTGAATTGATGCTCCTTGCAGGTGATATTACAATTAATCTCATCACTGCTATCATCACAATGTATTTCACCATCGCAGCGATGATCATGTTTAATACATTTCCCGGTACCACATCTAAACTCACTTTCCGAACAATTGCGCATTTGACAATTTAACTCATCACTGCCATCGCCACAATCATTTTCATAATCACAGCGCCATCTGCCGGGTATACATTTGGAATTGTTGCACTTAAAGTAGGTGGGATCACATTCTTCCTTCGAGGAGTGACAAGAAGGCGGTTCATCTTCACCACTGGGACAATCATCCTCACCATCACATCTCCAAGACATAGGTATACAACGTCCCGAAGCACATTGGAAATCACTGGGACCACAGGAAACCCGTTCACAATTCAACTCATCCGATTTATCGGGACAATCAATATCACCATCACACACCCATATGAAAGGCATACAACGATTATTGCCACATTGGAATTGATTCTTGGTGCAATTGAGTGGTGCACAACCACTTTCATCCTCGCCATTGGGACAATCGCGTACTCCATCACATTTCTTGACATTATCTATACAGAACGCGGTAGTATTGTCGGAAGCTTCACATTTCATATGATTTTCGAAACAGGTAAACTTATCACAATTCTGTTCATCTGAATTATCACCACATTGATTGGTGCCATCACATATAGCCGAGGGATGTATGCATTTCTTATTGTTACACTGATACTGGCCCGGTTCACAATGGAAGGGTGGACAATTTTCCGGTTCATCACTGCCATCACCACAATCATCTTGCGTATCGCATTTCCAATAGAACGGTATACATTTGTAAGTTTGCGAACATTGGAAATGGGCCGCCGTACAGTTAGCTATACATGATTTATGATCATCGGCCAAGAAGAAATTATTGGGACAAGCACATTTGTAATAAGGAGCTTCGGGTGAGAGTAAACATAAGGTTGAACAATTGGCCGTATCGCAAGGATTGCCCTTGTGAGGCTGCTGTTGTCTATAAGGATGATAGATTCTCAAATCCATGGGCCGGTGGATGGTGGTAATTAAGGTGGAACAGTTTTGTCCTGAAAATTTATTACAATATTCTATGGATTTGGTTTCCCAATCAGACCAGAATACCTTGTCCTCCCATACAGCAATGGCAAATATATGATGCAGATTAAGTTGAGGATTAAGCTTGCGCGACATGATAACTCGTATATTATTGCCATCTAAATCGGACACGGAAATTGTATCTTCTCGGGCATCACCCCAAAATAGTTGATTACTTTCGAAGGATAATGTCAAGGCATTAGGCCAACCCATATTCTCGCGTATTATGACCCGAGGATTGGAACCATCCATGCCGGCTTTACCAATATGAGGATTATCACCCCAGTCGGACCAATAAAGATTGCGATTGAAAGGATCCAAAGCTACTCCTCTAGGTTCACGTAGATTTTCATTTATCAACACTTTACGATAGCGACCATCCAATTTCGACACCTCAATAGTATCCAAACCCTTGTCACACCAATACAGATTCTTAGCCACCCAATCTACAGCTAAACCATCTGGATTCTTAAGCATAGCTTGATGTAATGTAGTGGTCTTATTCTCCACTGTACAAAAACGTTTAATCATACCCACCGTAGAGGTAACATCCGACCAAAATAGACACTTAGAATCCCAATCAAAGTCCAAAGCCACAGCATTAGATAGCTGATGTATTAGAATAGAACCATTGCCGCGCATATCAACCTGACGGATGTAATAGCGATTGGAGAATATAAGTTTGGCGGTTTCATTGCTGGTGGCCTTGCAGGTATGTTGATCATCCTTCAGTTCATAACCCTTCATGCACAAACACTTATAGGAACCATAAGTATTGGCACAAATTTGCGAGCAATGATGAGGACCACTACACTCGTCTATATCATCGCATAAGTGATGATTGGCATGCAACTTATAGCCCGGATCACATTGACATTCATAACCGATTTTCTTATCTATACATACATGCTCACATATATCCGGTGTCAAACATTCATTGACATTACACAAGGACTCATCGGAGAAATCGCCACAATCATTACGTCCATCACATAAAAAGTCCTCAGAGACACAAGCACCATTTTTGCACTGATATTGTCCTAGGCCGCAAGACATTGTCGACTCACCACACAACTCCAAAGACTCGTCAGAAGCATCTGAGCAATCGGGACGTGAATTACAGGTAAGATTTTTAGCTATACATTCTAAATTATGACACTGGAATTCCACTTCTTCCAAACACACTTGGGTATAATTGAAATGTACACAATCTTCATATTCATCTTCGCCATTGGGACAATCATGGTCACCATCACATACAAAACGACGATCCAAACAAATGCCATTGGAACATAAAAAGGAAGGAGCCACGCAATCGGGTATATGAGGTACGGAGGCCACGGCACAATGTTCTCCTTCATCTTCTAAGCCAGGGGCAGGACAATCATGTTCACCATCACATACCCATTTCTGTGGAATACAACGTCCTGAGGACTTGCATTGGAACAAATGAGGCCGACAAACACGATTGGGACATTGGGCACCTTCATCTGAACCATCTTCACAATCGGGTTTGGCATCACATTGCCAACTTGCCGGTATACACATGTTATCACATCTAAACTCATTTGGTTTACATTGCAACTTACAGCCCACTTCATCTGAACTGAAATTACCGGGCACTGCATCTATACAATCATTTTCACCATCACAGCGCCATTTCTCGTTAATACAACGACCATTAGAGCATTGGAATTGTCCGGGACCACAGGCTACTTTTGTAACATGTTCACAGTTTTGTTCATCACTGCCATCGGGACAATCGTTATCACCATCACAACGCCACATGGGCATAATGCAGGCTGTCGAATTGGGACAATGTTCATAGAGAGCATCTCCGGCTGGACACTCGGAGGCGGGGCAATGTTTCTCATCACTAAAATCTTTACAATCACGCACCTGATCACACACAAATTGCTGAGATATACACTCTCCACTGCCGCACCTGAATTTTTCCGGTTCACATTTGCATATTAACTCCGACTCATCGGAACCATCACCACACTGATGTACACCATCGCAGGTTTCATTCTGTGGTATGCAACGATGATTGTTGCACATGAAAAAGTCATTGGGACAGACGCGTATTATACAATAACTGCGCGATTCATCAGAACCATCCAGGCAATGGGATATGCTATCACAGGTCAAGTGTAAAGGTATGCATTCTCCAGAACGACAAGGGAATTCATTCTTTTCACATTTGGTATTCAATTGTTGTATACATCTCCTGCCATCCGAGGCCAAAACACCACGAGTACATTGACAACTGGCAGTGCCATTTTTATTCAAAATACAAACATCTTCACAGCCTCCATTTAAGATTTTACATTGATTGGAATCACAGTTAACGGTGGTATTCTGTACAGCCACCACACCCATAGGACGCTCAATATGATCTCTCAACAGAACCATATCGGCACCGGTATATTTATTAGCTCTCACTAAAGCACCCAAAACCCAATCAGACCAAAACAATAGATCACCATAGACCGCTATAGCAAACGGATGTTTGGGTGTTGAATGAGCCAAAACCACACGATGAGAACCATCATAATTGGCCCTTTCAATTTTATCTATACGCGCATCAGCCCAATACAATTTTTGATCTTCCAAATCCAAAGTTATGGCATTAGGCATTTTGATATCCTTCTTTATAATCGATTCCAAGCCAAATCCGGTTACATAAGCTCTTTGAATAGAGGGAGCCTCTTCATTCCAATTCGTCCAATAGATCATACCCAAACAGGGTTCTACCGCTATGCCTCTAGGCTTATCTTTCGAATTCAATACCCTTATGCGACTGACCAGCTGAGTGTTATTATCGGGATTTTCATTGATATAATGCAGATCCAAACTGCATATGGAAGCATCATTATTGGAAGTCCAAAATAACATTTCGTTTACTATATCAAATGCCAAACCCTCCACTCGTCCTTGATGACTAACTAACACCCGATTATTGCTGCCATTGAAGTTTACCGCATTTATAGTGCTCAAGACCATATCCGAGTAATATAAGACGCTATTTTCATAATCATAGGTCAAGGCTATAACATTAACCATCATGGTGGAATTACGTATACTGCGTACTGGTCCATTTTTATCTAAATGATCGGTGAGATGTACACTCTCTATAGTGCTGCGGTGAGAGAATAATAGGAAACTATCGTAAGGCTCGCAGGATACACCATCACTAGCCACACGACTATGGGAACAGGCACATAAGGCGGAAGTACCATTGTACAAACACAACTCTTGACAACCGCCATTGTTTTCCGCACACAAATTGGTGCCCTTTTGTAGTCTTTTCGAGAATATCTTCATGTCTTTAATGGAATAGCCTTCGAAACGCTTAAGCTCCTTAAAATCGCTCAAATTACCCATATTAGCCACCTTAAAGGTACCCTTATTATAATTATTATCCGCCCAGTATATGAAATCATCTAATTTACCCACTGATGTGGGATATTCCAAAGTATGATTCAGCAACACTTCCTTAACATTACCATCATAGTCTACTTTCATGATGGCGGGTTGGACTATGGCATTTTTGGGTGTTTCACACCAATAGACCTTTGTAGCCTCAATATCTAGCACCAAACTGGTAACGATTTTCTGATGATTTACCAAAATAAAAGGTTGTGAACCATCTAATCCGGTACGTCCTATTATACCATCCGCCACATAGAACAATAAACCCTGTACAGGATCTACCGCTAAGGCACTGGGTTTAACCACATTTGAAATAATAACATGCCGATATGATCCATTTAGTCGAGCCACTTCTATAACATTACGCTTTACATCACTGATGTATATATTCTCGGCTATCCAATCGATGGCTATGCCACCTAACCAATCTAATTGTTTATTATCCATCCATTCGGGTGATTGGATGATGACTTCACGTTGGGTACCATCTCGTTTTATACGTGATATAGTGCCGCTATCATTGTCACCCCAGTAGAGGAAATCCTTGGCAGCATGATAGTCTATGTAGGAGGCTAAGGATATTCGTGAAATGGGACCTAAAGCCTGGAAAACGCAAAATTTTTTCGTGATATATATATAACAATATTTATACATTATGCTTAAAATGACTAAAGAAATTGCACATATATAGGTGTAACCAAGGAGTATTCCTCTTTAAATTCTGTAACGAGCAGATAATATCGTAGTCGAAGCCAATAGTTTTCCCACTAAAACTTGAATCACTAATCACATAGGGATCTCAACAACTAGTAGATAACAGTTTCAGTTCAAGTACATTTCCTGTTCAGTTTTAGTTCAGTTCTAGTTGAGTTCTAGTTGGGTTCTAATTCAGTTCTAGTTGAGTTCTGGTTGGGTTCTAGTTCAGTTCTAGTTGAGTTCTAGTTGAGTTCTAGTTGAGTTCTATTTGAGTTCTAGTTCAGTTCTAGTTCAGTTCTAGTTCAGTTCTAGATCAGTTCTAGTTCAGTTCTAGTTCAGTTCTAGTTCAGTTCTAGTTCAGTTCTAGTTCAGTTCTAGTTCAGTTCTAGTTCAGTTCTAGTTCAGTTCTAGTTCAGTTCTAGTTCAGTTCTAGTTCAGTTCTAGTTCAGTTCTAGTTCAGTTCTAGTTCAGTTCTAGTTCAGTTCTAGTTCAGTTCTAGTTCAGTTCTAGTTCAGTTCTAGTTCAGTTCTAGTTCAGTTCTAGTTCAGTTATAGTTCAGTTCTAGTTCAGTTCTAGTTCAGTTCTAGTTCAGTTATAGTTCAGTTATAGTTCAGTTATAGTTCAGTTATAGTTCAGTTATAGTTCAGTTATAGTTCAGTTATAGTTCAGTTATAGTTCAGTTCTAGTTTAGTTTTAGGTTAGTTTTAGTTCAGTTCTAGTTCAGTTCTAGTTTAGTTCTAGTTCAGTTCTAGTTCAGTTCTAGTTCAGTTCTAGTTCAGTTCTAGTTCAGTTCTAGTTCAGTTCTAGTTCAGTTCTAGTTCAGTTCTAGTTCAGTTCTAGTTCAGTTCTAGTTCAGTTCTAGTTCAGTTCTAGTTCAGTTCTAGTTCAGTTCTAGTTCAGTTCTAGTTCAGTTCTAGTTCAGTTCTAGTTGAGTTCTAGTTGAGTTCTAGTTGAGTTCTAGTTGAGTTCTAGTTCAGTTCTAGTTCAGTTCTAGTTCAGTTCTAGTTCAGTTCTAGTTCAGTTCTAGTTCAGTTCTAGTTCAGTTCTAGTTCAGTTCTAGTTCAGTTCTAGTTCAGTTCTAGTTCAGTTCTAGTTCAGTTCTAGTTCAGTTCTAGTTCAGTTCTAGTTCAGTTCTAGTTCAGTTCTAGTTCAGTTCTAGTTCAGTTCTAGTTCAGTTCAGTTCTAGTTCAGTTCTAGTTCAGTTCTAGTTCAGTTCTAGTTCAGTTCTAGTTGAGTTCTAGTTCTAGTTTAGTTCTAGTTCTAGTTCAGTTCTAGTTCAGTTCTAGTTCAGTTCTAGTTCAGTTCTAGTTCAGTTCTAGTTCAGTTCTAGTTCAGTTCTAGTTCAGTTCTAGTTCAGTTCTAGTTCAGTTCTAGTTCAGTTCTAGTTAAGTTTTAGTTTAGTTCTAGTTCAGTTCTAGTTCAGTTCTAGTTCAGTTCTAGATCAGTTCTAGATCAGTTCTAGTTCAGTTCTAGTTCAGTTCTAGTTCAGTTCTAGTTCAGTTCTAGTTCAGTTCTAGTTCAGTTCTAGTTCAGTTCTAGTTCAGTTCTAGTTCAGTTCTAGTTCAGTTATAGTTCAGTTCTAGTTCAGTTCTAGTTCAGGTCTAGTTCAGTTTTATATCAATTCAGGAAACATATTTCGCAGCTCTGACTAGAAGTTATGAAGATTAGAACGAAGCTGTAAAGAGAGAAGGAATCTCAAACATAACTACTTCAAGGATCTTCTTTAGAAGCCGTCATAAAAACGAAAGCCAAGGAAAGGTAACTTATAACTTTAACGCCCTAGAGTAAACTTGCTTTAGCTCCGCAGTTTAGAATTTAAGAGCTTTCGTCGTCAAAATGAAGATCTAGAGGAAGATAACTCACACAAATGCAATCCTTTGATCTGCTTCAGGGAACCCATTTCCTTGCTATGCGCCATATAAATAAGCCTTAGATAGGGAACCCCATTTTGTAGATCTGCTTCGGGAAAGTCCTGGTAGAAACACATCTTGTAGCAGACTAAGAGGAGAAAGGAAGTTCTGTTGGAAAGACTTCACAGGTTCGCTACAGAAGAGAGTGGCATAGAAGCGAATCATGTGGGGAAAGGGAGTTCAGATAAAATGCACATATCTTCCTTCTACGCTGCATCAATTAGGAGGTTTCGTAGTCCAAACGAAACTGTAGAAGATAATCCTTAATGAAAACTAAACTTTACGGCTTCGCTTCGGAGATGTCTTGGAAAAAGACACATCTTGCAGCTGACTAAGTGGAGTCGGGAAGGTTTGTTGAAAAGACGAAGTAAACTTAAACGAACACACATCACTGGTCTGCTTTAGAGACACTCACAAGAACGAATCTCAAGAGAAAGACAAGTCAGAGAAACAGTTTGAACTTTTAACGATCCTCAGGGAAATTCAAATACTATATGGCTACACCAATGGTTAATTTAATGTTGATAAAACATTATTCCTGATCATATTAAAGTAATTTTGTTTCAACTTACCATTTTCTGTCCCTGTTCATCCAAAGTTTTACTAGGATCATAAACCTCAATACCTTTCAGCTCATGATTGGAATAGTAAAGAAACTCCTCCAAACCAATACATTGTGTTGCATTATTAGGATCTACACGATAGCCAATGGAACAACCACATACATGTTCTGTAGAAGAAATGGCCAAACATAAATGCGCACAGCCACCTTTCAACGGTCCCGCACAGGTATTGGTACCCTGTTGAGCTTCAGCATAAAACATTTTCAAATACTGGATGGATTTGGTATTTTTACGCAGCATAAAATATTCGGGACAAGAATCCTTATCGCAGGACATTATAACACTTTGTATATTCTCGGGAAAATAAAGAGTGCCATTGTAGACGGTAACCGCACTAATGGTCATTACCTCACTAGAGGCCAAGACCACGTGTATGGTTTTGGTAGCTATATCATAATAGGATATACCGGAATTATCATAGACATAATACAAACGCCAGGAATCAAAGTCTATGGTTAGAGAGGCCAAGGTTTTGTTGTGCTCGAAAATACTCTGACGATTAGTGCCATCTAGATTGCTCTGTTCAATTTGCCATAACTGAGAATTGCGGGCCGACGATATCCAATACATTTTGCCACTAAAAAGAAAGGAATAAACTTCAAAATTTAATCAAATTTAGTTTAAAAAACTTTGAACTTACTTAACAGGATCTAAAGCTATACTTTCAACCATATTAAGATCCGCCAAAATTTCCGTAACATATTCTCCTTTTAGATTACTAGCCCAGATATCACTTTTCACTTTACCGGTGGAAAAATACATGTTCTTGGCAATCCAATCTATGGCAAAACCAAAGGGATTTTGTATATCCGTATTAATAATGGTATCTATTAGACCATTAGAAATACCAGCAGTTTTGATCTCATTTAGTTGGACATCAGACCAATAAAGACGGCTGTCCTCTACAGTAAAATCTATACGCTGAGGTGCCAATACTTGAGGCGATTGTCTTATAGTAGGTATGGTATGATGTATGGGTTGCATTAAATCAATACCCCTGATTTCATCGCCCATTATAAATAGTAAAACCTGCTCATTGGCCACACAGGTGCGATTATCGGTAGGATCCAAACGCATGACATGGGGACAGGCACATTGATAGGATTTCTTGACACTAAATGGATAATTTATTTATAATTTTATAAAAATTCTTAAAACTATAAGAAAAAACTTACTCTAATAAACATAAATGCGAGCAGCCGCCATTATTATCACCACAAGGATTTTCAGCCTGAGGCTGGCGACTGGAGTGTAAAACTTGTATACCAAAAGGTTGAGTTTGTGTGCGATGTATTACTTGTATATCGGTGCCATTCCATTTATTGGCTCTTATCACTGAGGTGGTTCTCCAATCGGTCCAGTACACGTAATTCTCAAACACCGTTATGGCAAAGGGATGTGACAATATCTCCAGATCTCTGAGCACCAAATGAATATCAGAGCCATCATATTTTATGGTATATATTGAGTCCGATTTAGCATCTACCCAGTAGACACGCTTTTGCGTATAGTCCAAAGAAAGACCATTAGGCCAACCAGCCGATACCATGGAAGTAGTGGTAATAGCTTGTCGATGTTTACCAGCCATAGAGCAACGTTCTATGCGTGGATAATTATCATCCCAATCAGTCCAAAACAGCAGACCTTCTCTTGGATCTAAAGCTATAGCTCTAGGACTTTCCATATCACCCGCTATAAGGGTGCGCCTAAAACTGCCATTAAGCTTAGCTACCTCGATTTGATCCAGATTAGAATCTATCCAATATAGATTCATGCCAATCCAGTCCACTGCCAAACCTTCTGTGGTAGATAAACCTGAATGTACCACCGCTTCCACCTTGTGTAAAGCTTCTCCCACCAATTGTCCCCTATAGATTTTATCGTCTATAACATCGGTCCAAAATATTTGACTAGATTCGTTATTGTATAGAAAATCCAAGGCTATGGTATTGCGTAGCGAAGTATACAAATTACTTATGGTGCCCTTTTTCAGGTTTAAACCCCTAATTTCTTGGCGATTGGTAAAAATTACATAGGGATCATCTTCGGCTGTGCTCTTGCAGGTAAAACTATCATATTGTAAATCATAACCCTCAAAACATTTACACTCATACCGCTTGCCCACGGTGGCACATATTTGCGAACAGGAATCCCAATGATCACAGGCATGTTGCATGCTGCAGCGTTTGCCATTGGGCAGTAAATACATGTGGGCGGGGCAGGAACAGATAAAACCCTCTGGAGCATTATGACAATAGTGAGAACATTCATGGGATTTTTCACACAACTTGTCATCGCACAAGAAGCCCTCATCGGTGGTATCTTCACAATCGAATTTACCATCACAAAGCTGTTGTAGGCTTATGCATTTATTGGACACTTGACACAAACGTTCAGGAGGTTCACAGATGATGGTTTCATTGAATTCCAAAGGATTGGTTTTAATTTGTGTACAATTCATTTCATCAGACTTATCAAAACAATGAGGAATGCCATCACATCTAAAGAAGTGTGGTATACATTCGAAAGGATCGGAACAGCCGAATTCAATGGGTCCACAGTAATGAGCTTCACCTAAATCTATGATATGATGATTATCCGATTTGGTTTCATTACAGTTGGCTTCATCGCTGAAATCCAAACAATCATGTATGCCATCACACATATGCGTCTCATCATAGCAACCCACGGGTACACAGTAACGCTCTCCCGGTCCACATTCAAACTCACAAGATAATTCATCTGAATTATCACTAAAAAAGAGCAATAAATTACCAATATCATTACATTGAAATACTTTTTCTCTATCTCTCTCTCTCTCCTCCCAACTTACCCACACTGATCGACACCATCACAAACATCCGAAAACGATCGACATGCACCATTATGACACTCAAATTCTGCACACTTTTCATCGAATAAATCTTCACCCTCTTCATCGGAAGAATCATCGGGACCACAATCCACCATGCCATCATTAACCCAAGACAATTGTATACATTTACCACTTTTCGCACAGGTAAATTCATTGGCATTACACGAATGCGTTTCACAATTCTGTTGATCCGTACCATCTAGACAATAGTTTATGGAGCTACACAGCAGCGAACGTTGATAGCATCGTTGATTGCATACAAAATGTAAATTTAAATCACATTTCTTGGGATTACATGGGCCGCCATCAGCATTACTTTCATCACTGCCATCATCACAATCATCGAAGCCATCACATAAATCCTTAACATCGACACATTGCTGCGACTTTAGACATGGAAACCCTGTAGTACAATTTTTCGCCTTCACTTCTGTGTCCTTGGGATAAGGTATACACTGAGATCCCGTTCCATTTAGAGAGAATTTGTCTGGACAACGACAAATAGAGGTATTCGGAGTATTAAAACATACTCCCGGGCATTTGGTTTTAGCACAAGCATTACTTATCGATGTGGGTTGAGTGCTAACATCAAACATTTTTAGGTTGGATGTACGACCACGTTCGTATGAGAACAGTTGTGATTGAGAGTTATTCTTCACCATACCACTTAGGTGATGTATGGAAAACGTTTTTACGGTTCCATTTTTATTGTCCACCCAGTAAATGGTACCCTTGTGCAGAGCAATTGATATCGGATGATATTGTTCATCTTTAAAGATGATTTCACGATCAGTTCCATCAAAATTCATGCGTTCTATAACACTTTCGCGAACATCACACCTGGAAATGGGGGGGAAAAAATCAACATTAGATATTAGTCCATATAGTCCGGACTATATTTTGTACTGAATTGAATTGTATAGTCTGGGCTATAGACTATAGTCTGTACTATGGACTATAGACTGTACTATTGACTATAGCCTGTACTATAGACCATAGTCTGTACTATAGAATATAGTCTGTACTGTAGTCTGTACTATAGACTGTACTATAGACTATAGTCTGGACTATAGACTATAGTATAGATTATAATCTATAGTCCAGACTATACTCTATAGTTTGGACTATGGACTATAGTCTGGACTATGGACTATAGTCTGGACTATAGACTATAGTCTGGACTATGGACTATAGTCTGGACTATGGACTATAGTCTGGACTATAGACTGGACTATAAACTATAGTGTGGACTGTAAACTATAGTCTGGACTATAAACTATAGTCTGGACTATATACTACATTCTAGTCCAAATTATAATCTATAGTCCAGATTATAGTCTATAGTCTGGATTATGGACTATAGTCTGGACTATAGACTAAAGTCTGGACCATAGACAATAGTCTGGACTATAGACTATAGTCTGGACTATAAATTATAGTCTAGACTATATACTATATTCTGGGCTATAAAGTATAGTCTGGACTATGGTCTTGATTATAGACTAGAGTCTGGACTATAGACAATAGTCTGGACTATAGACAATAGTCTAGACTATCAGCAACAGACTGGACTATAGACTATAGTCTGGACTATAGACTATAGTCTGGACTATATACTATAGTCTGGACTATAGACTATAGTCTAGACTATAGACTATAGTCTGGACTATAGACTATAGTCTGGACTATAGACTATAGTTTGGACTATAGACAATAGTCTGGACTATAGACAATAGTTTAGACTATCAGCTACAGACTGGACTATAGACTATAGTCTGGACTATAGACTATAGTCTGGACTATAGACTATAGTCTGGACTATAGACTATAGTCTGGACTATAGACTATAGTCTGGACTATAGTCTATAGTCTGGACTATAGACTATAGTCTGGAATATAGACTATAGTCAGGACTATAGACTATAGTCTGGACTATAGACTATAGTCTGGACTATAGACTATAGTCAGGACTATAGACTATAGTCTGGACTATAGACTATAGTCTGGACTATAGACTATAGTCAGGACTATAGACTACAGTCTGGACTATAGACTATAGTCAGGACTATAGACTATAGTCTGGACTATAGATTATAGACTGTACTGTAAACTATAGTCTGGACTATGGACTTAAGTCAGGAATCTAGACTATAGTCTGAACTATAGTCTGGATTATAGACTAGAGTCTGGACTATAGACAATAGTCTGGACTATAGACAATAGTCTAGACTATCAGCTACAGACTGGACTATAGACTATAGTCTGGACTCTGGACTATAGACTATAGTCAAGACTACAAATTATAGTCAAATTATAGACTATAGTCTGGACTACAGATATACTGGGTATATGAATGAAACTACATAAGTTCCCTTTTTAAATCCTTAACACTTACCAATACAACTTCTTATGCTGAACATCCACCACTAAACTTAAAGGCCATTTCATGGGTTTATCATCCGTCGATTCAATTAACATATCACGATGTGAACCATCTAACCAAGCACGAAAGATTGAAGCCTTTTTATTGCCAGCCGTCCAATGAGACCAAAACATATAGCCATCAATGGGATTCAAAGCTAAACTCCTACAATAACAAAAATAGTGTAAAAAGAAGTGAAAACAAATTTCAAAACAATTTAACAGCAAATCTGAACAAAACATTTAACTTACATGGCTTCGGCCTTCAAAGGCAACGTAACTATTTTGGACATATTTGCCACAGGAGCAACATAGAAACTCTCTACACCACCCCAATACAGATTCGACGATAGCCAGTCGTAAGCCAAAACTGAAATTCCCTCCGTGCCATTTGTAAGCATTTTGCGTTGCATACCATCCGTTGATTGACTTAGTATAATATAGCCAGTCCTAAGGAGGGAACAGGATTAAAAGTTTGAGTTTTGAGTAAAAAAAAAACATTTAAAATTATTATTTGTTTAACTAACTTTTGTTGCTGCACATAATAAACCAATTTATGATGAACATTAATATCGGCTGGCATTATCCAAGTAACATTGTATATGGGCACCATAGCATCTTCCACAACTACAGTAGAGCTAGAGTCAGCCTCCTGATTTGAATGGCGTTCGGGTTGATTTAGTGGTATACCGGCTATACTGGCCAAACGTTGTCGAGCCAATATTAGAAATTTATCATAGTGCTGGAATACGCATTCGGTATTGTTGCGTAATTTATAACCATGTGAACACATGCAGGTTGCACGAGCAAATCCCTTTGTCCACATTGGTATACAAATCTGATTGCACTGACCATTGTTATCGCGACAAGGATGAGCAACTGTTTTTTTGGAGTTCAAAGCAGAAATAGAAATAAAGAAAACAGGAGAAAATTGTTCTTTAGTAAAGATTTCAACTTGAGGAAAAATGGTAAACTGAACCGGAAATTAGAAAAATATGAAAATATTTCTGCAGAAGAAAAAAAAGTTTTATAGAAAAAGGTTCAAAAATTTCTCTATTTTTATAGAAATCCTTTCAAATCCTTTTATATTAAATATTACATTCTCTCTGCTTTCTTCTTTAAAATTAACACTTTATTAAAAGCAGAAAATAACAACATATCCTTTGAAATCCTTTGTCCCTGACCGGTCATAATACAGCAAATTCCATATCTAACATGTTCCACTTTTAGTTTTTATTATTCTTAGTTGTTGTTGTGTTCTTTTTATTCGCTCCTCTTCCAACATTTTAATATCTCTTTCACTTTTCTTTTGTATGTTCTAAGTTTATGAATTTATGAGTTCATATGCAATAAACCTAATATTACAAACATACATACGTGCACACTAAACTAGCACAACACTTACCCTCGGGTTGTTTTTGACGATGAAATATTCTAAAGTCAAACGGACGTTTGACATCTTTAACGATCTGCTGGGCCGTTAATGTGTATTTATCCATGGCAACAATAACGGTATCACTCCATGGTGCTAAATAAACGGTATTTTCAAATACTTCAACGGCATGTAAGGATTTTAAAGGTACATGTGTCTAAAAAGGAAGAGAGGAAGAATTGTGAGTGTTAACATATGATACTTGAGAAATGTTAGTTGAAAAGAAAATGTCCCAGATTAATAAAGAGCAATTGGTATCAATAGTATAATCCAGACTACACTCTAGTCTACATTCCAGACTATGGTCTAGTCTAGAGTCCAGACTATAGTCTAGTCTACATTCCAGACTATGGTCTAGTCTAAAGTCCGGACTATAGTTTAGGTTATAGGTTATGATTTAGGCTATAGTCAAGTCAATAGTCCAGACTATAGTCAAGTCAATTGTCCAAAATATAGTCAAGTCTGTAGTCCAGATTATAGTTCACACTATAGTCAAGTCTATAGTCCAGACTATAGTCTAGATTATAGGTTATGGTATAGGCTATAGTCCAGACTATAGTCCACACTATAGTCAAGTCATTAGTACAGACTATAGTCATGTCTATAGTCCAAACTATAGTCAAGCCTATAGTCCAGACTATAGTCCACAATATCGTCAAGCCTATAGTCAAGTCTATAGTCCAGACTATAGTCAAGTCTATAGTCTAGACTACAGTCAAGTCTATAGTCCAAACTATAGTCAAGTATATAGTCCAGACTATAGTCAAGTCTACAGTCAAGTCTACAGTCCAGACTATAGTCAAGTCTATAGTCTAGACTATAGTCAAGTCTATAGTCCAGACTATAGTCAAGTCTATAGTCCAGCCTATAGTCAAGTCTATAGTCCAGACTATAGTCAAGTCTATAATCCAGACTAAGTCAAGAATATATTGTCCAGACCATAGTCAAGTCTATAGTCCAGACTATAGTCAAGTCTATAGTCCAGACTATAGTCAAGTCTATAGTCCAGACTATAGTCAAGTCTATAGTCCAGACTATAGACAAGTCTATAGTTCAGACTATAGTCAAGTCTATAGTCCAGACTATAGTCAAGTCTATATTCCTGACTATAGTTAAGTCTATATTCCAGACTATATTTAAGTTTATAGTCAGGCCTCTGGTATTGGCTATAGTCTAGGCTATCGTCCAGAATATAGTCAAGTCTTAAATCTGGCCTATAGTCAAATCTATAGTCAAGATTTTAGTCCAAAATATTGTCCAGACTATAGCAAGTCAATAGTTCCGATTATAATCAGGGCTATAGTGCAGAATATGGTGTAGGCTATAGTCCAGAGTGCACTCAAGTTTATAGTCCATACTATAGATAAGTCTATAGTCCAGATTATCGCCCACACTATAGTCCAGAAAATAGTCTAGGTTACAGTTTATATTCAGAGTTTTACCTAGCAGATCTATAGTTGGTTGAATGTGCATCGGAATCAAGGATATGTAGTAAACGATCGTACTAATTTGAAATTCGCAATATAAATAGATTCGTTCATTCTATTGTTTGCGATATTGAATCACTCACTTAGGTACATGTTTTTAGATCAAAGAGAGTTAGTTGTCGCTATAAATTAATCAACCACAAATTAATTAAAAATCCATCCATACAAAACAAAATTTTCAATTAAAATTAATTTTTTGTTGTTGTTGGTTTTCTGTTGTTGGTTTGTGTATGTATGTATATATTTTTATTTGCCTCGGCCTTTTACACATTCGATGTTTATACAATACACAAGACGTTAATTAAAATTCATGTGATTTTATGCTTGTGTGGCTGGCATTGATGGGAAATGAACAGTCAGCCAGCCAGGCAGCCAACAAAATCCTCCACAAAAGCTTTGATACCAAATGGCAACATGACCAAAATCAGAGTTAAGTATTGCCAAGCAACCAAAAACAAACACACAGATTCATAGCCTACTGTTGAGTATATAATACATACATATATTCATATATATAGATATAAGTATGTATGTGTGAATGCATGAATCCTTCTATACGTGCAAACGCAGTAATACGCACACATATTAATAGAATTTTTGAAATGTAATCCATCCATATATACATGTATATGAAGTACCAACCTACATATAAGAGTGCCAATGATTGACAGTCAGTCAGTCAGTCATCAAACCATTAAATTCCACCAACTTTACGTGTCTCCACACATTCATACAATTATAAATATTAACTATATACCATTTTGCATACACTAAGCTGGAGGTTACATTTATGAACAGTCATATAAATACATATATACTTACATCTGATGTTTTTTTCATGGCCCAACGATTGCGTCCTTCATAATCGACTCTTTCCACAAAATCCTTATAGATATCAATCCAATAGACATGTTCATTGGGTAAATCCAATGTCAAGCGACTGGGATAATAAATTTGGGTGGATACCAATACGGTGCGATTTGTACCATCTAGATTGGAGCGTGATAAACTGGGACTCCATTCGGTGAAAAATATGAAACTGTAAAATTTTATGAAACAAATTACAATATAATCGAAAGCGAGGGAAAAAATACGGAACTCGATAAAAAGAGGAACCAAAATTATAAACGAAATATATGCAAATGAAATAAAAGCGAATCCGTTTTAAATTATTTGCAGAATAAAAAAGAGAAAATATACACAAAGTGTATAAATAATTTATAAAACAATCATGAATAAACATGGTGTGTAGCACAGTGGGTCAGTATTTATGAAAAGGAAAAGAAAAATTGGCATAAAAGGCCAGACTATAGAACAGACTACAGACCAGACTTTAGACTATACGATAGACTACAGACTAAACTATAAACTAGACTATAGACTAGACTACAGGACTAGACTATAGACTAGACTATAGATTAGACTATAGATTAGACTATAGACTCGACTATAGACTAGACTATAGACTAAAATATAGACTAGACTATAGACTAGACTATAGACCAGACTATAGACTAGACTATAGACTAGACTTTAGACTAGACTATAGGCTAGACTATAGACTAGACTATAGACTAGACTATAGACTAGACTATAGACTAGACTATAGACTAGACTATATACTAGACTATAGACTAGACTATAGAATAGACTATAGACTAGACTATAGACTAGACTATAGACTAGAAAATAGACTAGACTATAGACTAGACTATAGACTAGACTATAGCCTAGACTATAGACTAGACTATAGACTAGAAAATAGACTAGAAAATAGACTAGACTATAGACTAAACTAGACTAAACTATAGACTAGACTATAGACTAGACTATAGACTAGACTATAGACTAGACTAGACTAGACTAGACTATAGACTAGACTAGACTATAGACTAGACTATAGACTAGACTATAGACTAGACTATAGACTATAGACTAGACTATAGAATAGGCTATAGACTAGACTATAGACTAGACTAGACTATAGACTAGACTATAGACTAGACTATAGACTAGACTATAGACTAGACTATAGACTAGACTATAGACTAGACTATAGACTAGACTATAGACTAGACTATAGACTAGACTATAGACTAGACTATAGACTAGACTATAGACTAGACTATAGACTAGACTAGACTACTCTAGACTAGACTATAGACTAGACTATAGACTAGACTATAGACTAGACTATAGACTAGACTATAGACTAGACTATAGACTAGACTATAGACTAGACTATAGACTAGACTATAGACTAGACTATAGACTAGACTATAGACTAGACTATAGACTAGACTATAGACTAGACTATAGACTAGACTATAGACTAGACTAGACTAGACTAGACTATAGACTAGACTATAGACTAGACTATAGACTAGACTATAGACTAGACTATAGACTAGACTATAGACTAGACTATAGACTAGACTATAGACTAGACTATAGACTAGACTATAGACTAGACTATAGACTAGACTATAGACTAGACTATAGACTAGACTATAGACTAGACTATAGACTAGACTATAGACTAGACTATAGACTAGACTATAGACTAGACTATAGACTAGACTATAGACTAGACTATAGACTAGACTATAGACTAGACTATAGACTAGACTATAGACTAGACTATAGACTAGACTATAGACTAGACTATAGACTAGACTATAGACTAGACTATAGACTAGACTATAGACTAGACTATAGACTAGACTATAGACTAGACTATAGACTAGACTAGACTATAGACTAGACTATAGACTAGACTATAGACTAGACTATAGACTAGACTATAGACTAGACTATAGACTAGACTATAGACTAGACTAGACTAGACTATAGACTAGACTATAGACTAGACTATAGACTAGACTATAGACTAGACTATAGACTAGACTATAGACTAGACTATAGACTAGACTATAGACTAGACTATAGACTAGACTATAGACTAGACTATAGACTAGACTATAGACTAGACTATAGACTAGACTATAGACTAGACTAGACTATAGACTAGACTATAGACTAGACTATAGACTAGACTATAGACTAGACTATAGACTAGACTATAGACTAGACTATAGACTAGACTATAGACTAGACTATAGACTAGACTATACTAGACTATAGACTATAGACTAGACTATAGACTAGACTATAGACTAGACTATAGACTAGACTATAGACTAGACTATAGACTAGACTATAGACTAGACTATAGACTAGACTATAGACTAGACTATAGACTAGACTATAGACTAGACTATAGACTAGACTATAGACTAGACTATAGACTAGACTATAGACTAGACTAGACCATAGACTACTACTATAGACTAGACTATAGACTAGACTAGACTATAGACTAGACTATAGACTAGACTAGACTATAGACTACTACTATAGACTAGACTATAGAGTAGATTATAGACCTGACTATAGACTAGACTATAGACTAGACTATAGACTAGACTATAGACTAGACTATAGACTAGACTATAGACTAGACTATAGACCAGACTATAGACTAGACTAGACTATAGACTACTAAAGTTTAAAAAAATTGAGAATATGTTCCACTTAAACCACTGTGCACGCCTTTATATAGATATACATATGTATATTATGTTTCGCATACGTACGTACTCCTTAAATGTACACAAATCTATAGAGAAAAAAAATTGTGTATTTGAGTGAATACATACCCTTTTGTGGGATCCAAAACCATTGATGAGGGATTTTGTACATCCTGCAATATAATGCTACAGTATTGCATTGTATTGGTGCACATAAATATTAAACCAGGCTCATTACTCAAAAAATACCAATTGCCAGTTATCCAATCGAGACGTAATTTATCGATTGCTATAACAGAAAATATACAAAAAAAGAAAATCATGACAAAATTAATACAAATATACGGAAAGGACAAAGAAAATCCAACATAAAAAAGTGTATATGAGAAAATGTTGATGAGGATAACGAGAATGTTGAACGATGATGAATAAAACAACAAATAATGTCATTGCTGCTGTTGCAGCCACAACAACATACACAGAAGTGCATCATCGAACAAACGAACAATATCATCATACATAAAAACATATCTACGGAGATTCAGATGGATACTCTGTCAGTTATAGACACACAGATTTACTGTATTAAGTTATGTTTTCCGTAAAAAAAATTTGCAAGTTATACTTGCAACAAACAATAACCGAGCAAATACAGCAGACCGTGTGCAAATTTACAACTACCAACCGACGACCGACTTCATTTACGGCCAAGTACTTACAGTGTGTACTCGTAATTAGTTCCGGCAAAGGCATCGACCATGTTACATTGAAATCATCAATACGAAAACATTTCATATCAACCGCTGTCCAGGGACTTGAGTACATGGCACACAAAGTGCGATTACGATGCCAAATCTCAATTGCAGATATATCATTCGAATTCAAATTAGCTAACAGTGTGCCATTGTAAGGATTTATCCGCCGCACATTCGACTGCGTAAGGAATATCAAAGAAGCCAACTCATCTTTGGGCACTGAAAATGTAGTTAAGCGAAAAATAAACCAAAATTAAAATGAATTAAAATCAAAGACACATGCAGACAGGATATTAAAAAAAGGAAAATTGAATGAGAATAAACGAAAAGAAATTAATGGAAAGTAAAGTTAATCAGGTGTATTTTTACTCATCAATGTAGGCTTTATTTTTCATTTATATGAGATGCCTTAAAGTATTCAAGTGATTTTTGAAATAATTATTTTTGAATAATTGGATCAGAGCAGTGGGTCGTCAGAAGAGTGTGTGTTCGTTTCGAAAAGTTGGAAAACAAATTCTATCTATCTATCTATCTATCTATCTATCTATCTATCTATCTATCTATCTATCTATCTATCTACTATCTATCTATCTATCTATCTATCTATCTATCTATCTATCTATCTATCTATCTATCTATCTATCTATCTATCTATCTATCTATCTATCTATCTATCTATCTATCTATCTATCTATCTATCTATCTATCTATCTATCTATCTATCTATCTATCTATCTATCTATCTATCTATCTATCTATCTATCTATCTATCTATCTATCTATCTATCTATCTATCTATCTATCTATCTATCTATCTATCTATCTATCTATCTATCTATCTATCTATCTATCTATCTATTATCTATCTATCTATCTATCTATCTATCTATCTATCTATCTATCTATCTATCTATCTATCTATCTATCTATCTATCTCTATCTATCTATCTATCTATCTATCTATCTATCTATCTATCTATCTATCTATCTATCTATCTATCTATCTATCTATCTATCTATCTATCTATCTATCTATCTATCTATCTATCTATCTATCTTATCCTAAGCTTATCTATCTATCTATCTATCTATCTATCTATCTAATCTATCTATCTATCTATCTATCTATCTATCTATCTATCATCTATCTATCTATCTATCTATCATCTATCTATCTATCTATCTATCTATACTATCTATCTAGCTATCTATCTATCTATCTATCTATCTATCTATCTATCTATCTATATCTATCTATCTATCTATCTATCATTATCATATCTATCTATCCTATCTATCTATCTATCTATCTATCATACTTAGCTATCTATCTATCTATCTATCTATCTATCTATCTATCTATCTATCTATCTATCTATCTATCTATCTATCTATCTATCTATCTATCTATCTATCTATCTATCTATCTATCTATCTATCTATCTTATCTATCTATCTATCTATCTATCTATCTATCTATCTATCTATCTATCTATCTATCTATCTATCTATCTATCTATCTATCTATCTATCTATCTATCTATCTATCTATCTATCTATCTATCTATCTATCTATCTATCTATCTATCTATCTATCTATCTATCTATCTATCTATCTATCTATCTATCTATCTATCTATCTATCTATCTATCTATCTCGCTGTCGCTTTTTGTCTAAATTCTGTTTGCTTAAAAACCTTTCGGACAGTAACTGAATACATTCGGGGTTTTTATGAAAAACTTCACTTTATTTCGAGGATAGTGTGACACACTAGGGTTCCCTTAAGAACAATTTATTATTTCGTAAACTCACTGATTCTTTTGTAAACGAGAAACAACAATTATCTTTATTCCATTAAAACATTTTATATTTTCCCGAATAAACACCATTCATCCATAACCTTTCTTTCGTTATATTTTAGCCAATATACAAAAATCAAATTGCATACAATTTAACCTAAACCCCGTAAAAAGTATAAAAAAGAAGAAAAAACTTACCATTAATGGCATAACAATGATTCTTTTGCTTCACGTAACCCGAAACACAAGAACACTCATAGGAACCTGGCGTATTGCGACACAGCTGATCGCACATGCCCTCAATAGAGCACTCATCGAAGTCCATACATTGAGTTACATTGACTGGCACCTGTCCGGGTGCACAATAACATTTGGGACCCTGGGGTGTTAACTTGCAGTTGAATGAACAATTTAAGGTGGCACACTGAGCTTCTTGGTTATCTGAAAGGATGAACATTGACATCATCATAATCACAGCCAGAGTGTCATCATTAGTTTCAGTACAATCAAAGAAAACGACAGGAAATAAAATACAGGGAGACAAAAAAAGGAAATGCATAGAGCAGGAAATAGAGCTAAAGCGTGTTAATATTTATGTTTGAATGAAAATCATTCTTAACATTTTTAAATTTTTCTCAAAAATATATTTCGTTTTTAACGTTGTAAAATCTTTGTATTTTCGTACATACCACATTTGACTTCATCGTTACTGCAATCCCATTTCCCATCACAAAATCTCGATATATCCAAACACATACCACTGCTGCATTCACTTTGATAGGAACGACATTTTAATGCATCCGAATGACCTGTAAAATCAACACATTACATCAAGGGAACAAAGTGGAAAGATGAATAAAATAAAAAAACTAAAATGGGAATTCTTAATATGTTATGGCTAATGGTAAAAAATATATACATATATACAGTGAATGTCAAAATAATTGAAACGATTTGAGGAAAATTGGACTAAACTGTTATTGAAATATATATTTCGAAGCCATGTTAATCAAATATTTCTTAACACCTTTGGGCTCTAGACTAAATTATAGACTAAAGGCTAGAATGTAGACCAGACTATAGACTAGACTATAGACTAGACAATAGACTAGACTATAGACTAGACTATAGACTAGACTATAGACTGACTATAGACTAGACTATAGACTAGACTATAGACTAGACTATAGACTGGACTATAGACTAGACTATAGACTAGACTATAGACTAGACTATAGACTAGACTATAGACTAGACTATAGACTAGACTATAGACTAGACTATAGACTAGACTATAGACTAGACTATAGACTAGACTATAGACTAGACTATAGACTAGACTATAGACTAGACTATAGACTAGACTATAGACTAGACTATAGACTAGACTATAGACTAGACTATAGACTAGACTATAGACTAGACTATAGACTAGACTATAGACTAGACTATAGACTAGACTATACTAGACTAGACTATAGACTAGACTATAGACTATACTATAGACTAGACTATAGACTAGACTATAGACTGACTATAGACTAGACTATAGACTAGACTATAGACTAGACTATAGACTAGACTATAGACTAGACTATAGACTAGACTATAGACTAGACTATAGACTAGACTATAGACTAGACTATAGACTAGACTATAGACTAGACTATAGACTAGACTATAGACTAGACTATAGACTAGACTATAGACTAGACTATAGACTAGACTATAGACTAGACTATAGACTAGACTATAGACTAGACTATAGACTAGACCATAGACTAGACTATAGACTAGACTATAGACTAGACTATAGACTAGACTATAGACTAGACTATAGACTAGACTATAGACTAGACTATAGACTAGACTATAGACTAGACTATAGACTAGACTATAGACTAGACTATAGACTAGACTATAGACTAGACTATAGACTAGACTATAGACTAGACTATAGACTAGACTATAGACTAGACTATAGACTAGACTATAGACTAGACTATAGACTACTATAGACTAGACTATAGACTAGACTATAGACTAGACTATAGACTGGACTATAGACTAGACTATAGACTAGACTATAGACTAGACTATAGACTAGACTATAGACTAGACTATAGACTAGACTATAGACTAGACTATAGACTAGTCTATAGACTAGACTATAGACTAGACCATAGACTAGACTATAGACTAGACTATAGACTAGACTATAGACTAGACTATAGACTAGACTATAGACTAGACTATAGACTAGACTATAGACTAGGCTATAGACTAGACTATAGACTAGACTATAGACTAGACTATAGACTAGACTATAGACTAGACTATAGACTAGACTATAGACTAGACTATAGACTAGACTATAGACTAGACTATAGACTAGACTAATAGACTATACTATAGACTATAGACTATATAGACTAGACTATAGACTAGACTATAGACTAGACTATAGACTAGACTATAGACTGGACTATAGACTAGACTATAGACTAGACTATAGACTAGACTATAGACTAGACTATAGACTAGACTATAGACTAGACTATAGACTAGACTATAGACTAGACTATACTAGACTAGACTATAGACTAGACTATAGACTAGACTATAGACTAGACTATAGACTAGACTATAGACTAGACTATAGACTAGACTATAGACTAGACTATAGACTAGACTATAGACTAGACTATAGACTAGACTATAGACTAGACTATAGACTAGACTATAGACTAGACTATAGACTAGACTATAGACTAGACTATAGACTGACTATAGACTAGACTATAGACTAGACTATAGACTAGACTATAGCCTAGACTATAGACTAGACTATAGACTAGACTATAGACTAGACTATAGACTAGACTATAGACTAGACTATAGACTAGACTATAGACTAGACTATAGACTAGACTATAGACTAGACTATAGACTAGACTATAGACTAGACTATAGACTAGGCTATAGCCTAGACTATAGACTAGACTATAGACTAGACTATAGACTAGACTATAGACTAGACTATAGACTAGACTATAGACTAGACTATAGACTAGACTATAGACTAGACTAGACTATACTATAGACTATAGACTAGACTATAGACTAGACTATAGACTAGACTATAGACTAGACTATAGACTAGACTATAGACGACTATAGACTAGACTATAGACTAGACTATAGACTAGACTATAGACTAGACTTAGACAGACTATAGACTAGACTATAGACTAGACTATAGACTAGACTATAGACTAGACTATAGACTAGACTATAGACTAGACTATAGACTAGACTATAGACTAGACTATAGACTAGACTATAGACTAGACTATAGACTAGACTATAGACTAGACTATAGACTAGACTATAGACTAGACTATAGACTAGACTATAGACTAGACTATAGACTAGACTATAACTAGACTAGACTAGACATAGACTAGACTATAGACTAGACTATAGACTAGACTATAGACTAGACTATAGACTAGACTATAGACTACTAGACTAGACTATAGACTAGACTATAGACTAGACTATAGACTAGACTATAGACTAGACTATAGACTAGACTATAGACTAGACTATAGACTATAGACTAGACTATAGACTAGACTATAGACTAGACTATAGACTAGACTATAGACTATAGACTAGACTATAGACTAGACTATAGGATTTTAAACAGGATCAAACAATAATCAGAGTTTCGAATTTATATCCTTCCTTTAATTTCCTATTTCAATGTAGTCTCAATTTTAACACTCACTGTATTACGTTCACCATCACATTTTCCACATATGTATATATTCCTTCTTGAATACTTACAATTTATTTCATCGGAGACATCCGATAGACCACAATCATATTCACCATCACATACCCAATTATTGGGTATACATTTATGTGTGACACTACATTGGAATTGACCTTCATTACATTTGGAAGCATTGGCTGTAAAGAAAAAGTAGAAAAAGAAAACAAAAATTTAAATATTTTTATTACACCTAATAAAACAACATCTAAAAAAAGAGAGTCCTGCAGGGAGCTGATAACATTGTTTAAAAAACATAAACTGTTTTTTTTAATTTCTAACTTTTTGTTGTTGTTCTCGTTTCTGTTAAATAGCTAATATCCTTAATCTGTAATTATCTAATTGACTTTTAAATGTATTTAACATTAAATGAAAAAAACTCATACATACACACTCATACTAATGCTTAAACATAATATAAGGACAAATTTTAGAAAAAATGGTGTGGCTAAGGACGAAGAATAACAACAAAAAATACATACTCTATAAAATTTGCAAATGACATTTAATGTATTCTATATGCTAACTACACACAGTTGTTGGGTTGTGTGACTTTTTGTATATATATTTTTTGTTCTTACGATGGCAGACAAAAGAGTATCATGCTAATATGTGGGCATAAGTAGAGTGGCCAGATGTAAATAAGTTTCAAAATTATATTTCAAACAATTTACATGGACTCTCGGGGAGTTGTAAGTAGTCTGCGTTACAACTATCTCGACATACATATAGAAAATAAAAGAGGTAACTATTACACAAATGTCAATTGATTGGTAACACATAGATGGGATCAAGCAATTGAAAACAATTTGAAAATAATAACCTTAATTTCAATTAAATATTTACAACAATTGGATTGGATTGGTGGAAAATTGTACTAAAGTCAAATTGGTCTTATATAAGTTACACCCGCATTATGCATTTTATATTATTACTGTACTTTAAACAATCTCACTCACTAACCAAACAATAACTCAAACACATGCAAACACTGCAAACTGACACAGACACAAAAGTGGTCTTCTCATTTGAAATGCAAATTGAGTTTTTTTCTTGTTTTTAGAAAAACATAAATAAAAGGGAGAAAATAAGTATGAAATCTGTTTCCTAGCATGATGAAAACCACACGCTGCCATATGCAGATGACGACCACAACTGCGACAGTTCATCAGTTGAAGAAGATATGCAAAATATGTATAAAATATATCCTTTTTACTCTCTCACTCAATTTGTTGGTTATAATAAGTAAGCAGCTACAAGATGCATATTGAATTTGAAATTGAATAAAAGAGAGAAAAATTTAAATTATGGGAGTTTATTCTTAAATTTTCAGATTCATTCTTAAATCTACTTACAAACCTATAAACTAGACTTTCATCAACACTATTCAATAATTTAGTTTAGTTCTGTTCTAGTTCTGTTTAGCTCTGTTCTAGTTCTGTTTCTAGTTCTGTTCTAGTTCTGTTCTAGTTCTGTTCTAGTTCTGTTCTAGTTCTGTTCTAGTTCTGTTCTAGTTCTGTTCTAGTTCTGTTCTAGTTCTGTTCTAGTTCTGTTCTAGTTCTGTTCTAGTTCTGTTCTAGTTCTGTTCTAGTTCTGTTCTAGTTCTGTTCTAGTTCTGTTCTAGTTCTGTTCTAGTTCTGTTCTAGTTCTGTTTAGTTCTGTTCTAGTTCTGTTCTAGTTCTGTTCTAGTTTGTTCTAGTTTTGTTCTAGTTCTGTTCTAGTTCTGTTCTAGTTCTGTTCTAGTTCTGTTCTAGTTCTGTTCTAGTTCTGTTCTAGTTCTGATCTAGTTCTGTTCTAGTTCTGTTCTAGTTCTGTTCTAGTTCTGTTCTAGTTCTGTTCTAGTTCTGATCTAGTTCTGTTCTAGTTCTGTTCTAGTTCTGTTCTAGTTCTGTTCTAGTTCTTTCTAGTTCTGTTCTAGTTCTGTTCTAGTTCTGTTCTAGTTCTGTTCTAGTTCTGTTCTAGTTCTGTTCTAGTTCTGTTCTAGTTCTGTTCTAGTTCTGTTCTAGTTCTGTTCTAGTTCTGTTCTAGTTCTGTTCTAGTTCTGTTCTAGTTCTGTTCTAGTTCTGTTCTAGTTCTGTTCTAGTTCTGTTCTAGTTCTGTTCTAGTTCTGTTCTAGTTCTGTTCTAGTTCTGTTCTAGTTCTGTTCTAGTTCTGTTCTAGTTCTGTTCTAGTTCTGTTCTAGTTCTGTTCTAGTTCTGTTCTAGTTCTGTTCTAGTTCTGTTCTTTCTGTTCTAGTTCTGTTCTAGTTCTGTTCTAGTTCTGTTCTAGTTCTGTTCTAGTTCTGTTCTAGTTCTGTTCTAGTTCTGTCTAGTTCTGTTCTAGTTCTGTTCTAGTTCTGTTCTAGTTCTGTTCTAGTTCTGTTCTAGTTCTGTTCTAGTTCTGTTCTAGTTCTGTTCTAGTTTTCTAGTTCTGTTCTAGTTCTGTTCTAGTTCTGTTCTAGTTCTGTTCTAGTTCTGTTCTAGTTCTGTTCTAGTTCTGTTCTAGTTCTGTTCTAGTTCTGTTCTAGTTCTGTTCTAGTTCTGTTCTAGTTCTGTTCTAGTTCTGTTCTAGTTCTGTTCTAGTTCTGTTTCTAGTTCTGTTCTAGTTCTGTTCTAGTTCTGTTCTAGTTCTGTTCTAGTTCTGTTCTAGTTCTGTTCTAGTTCTGTTCTAGTTCTGTTCTAGTTCTGTTCTAGTTCTGTTCTAGTTCTGTTCTAGTTCTGTTCTAGTTCTGTTCTAGTTCTGTTCTAGTTCTGTTCTAGTTCTGTTCTAGTTCTGTTCTAGTTCTGTTCTAGTTCTGTTCTAGTTCTGTTCTAGTTCTGTTCTAGTTCTGTTCTAGTTCTGTTCTAGTTCTGTTCTAGTTCTGTTCTAGTTCTGTTCTAGTTCTGTTCTAGTTCTGTTCTAGTTCTGTTCTAGTTCTGTTCTAGTTCTGTTCTAGTTCTGTTCTAGTTCTGTTCTAGTTCTGTTCTAGTTCTGTTCTAGCTCTAGTTCTGTTCTAGTTCTGTTCTAGTTCTGTTCTAGTTCTGTTCTAGTTCTGTTCTAGTTCTGTTTTAGTTCTGTTCTAGTTCTGTTCTAGTTCTGTTCTAGTTCTGTTCTAGTTCTGTTCTAGTTCTGTTCTAGTTCTGTTCTAGTTCTATTCTAGTTCTGCTCTTGTTCTGTTCTAGTTCTGTTTTAGTGCTTTTCTATTTCTGTTCTAAGTCTGTCCAATTATATTCTTATTTATTATAGTCGAGGCTCTCTACAAGACTGTAAAGCTAATATAGTCAGGACTAGTCTTGCCGTTAAGATTATACTTCATACAAAGATTTTGGTTTGGAACTTAAAATCATTTTATTGTTTTCATCACACACTGTATCTTACATAAATGCTCTTTTTTGTTTTTTGGAGAACAAAGTTGCAACATTTTATTATATTTTAGTTATGAACTAGTTCTTTTATTTACATATAAATTTTTTGTTTCAATTTTATTTCGTTGTTTTTGCAGCAACTTTTGCAATAAATTTCAAATTTATGATTGTGACTTTTTAAACAATCACATGACTATTGAAGTGTAAACAATTTTCACGTTAAAAATTTTAATTTTTTGTTATGCAGCTAATGCACACAAATACAACAAAATATATAGAGATAAAGTTTAAAATTGAAATAGTAAAAAAATATTTAACAATTTAACAACTCAGCAAAATTGTTATTTAAATTAAGATATTTTTTTCTAAAAAAAAAACCTAATTGCACATTTAAATTTGCATAAAATTAAATGAATTGGTAAAAAATTTGGTTAATTTAATGGAAATTTGAAAATAATTATAATTTCTATTATCAAATTATGAAAATGTTATTTTGAAATATATTTGACACTCATAAACATTATCACTCCATTTCCTCCGCTCCTGTGGTTCCATTTATTCTATTTTGTTGACCTACCCATAGGACAATAGTACTTTTTTTACCACAACAAATAGTCTCATCAGAACCCATAAGCACAGTCTGGTGTGGATCACATTTCCAACGCATTGGGTATGCACTTTGCCATCGTTTGCATGTGTATAAGATGGTGGACAGTTTCTGCAAAAAACAAAACACAAAGGATCAAATTAAATTGTATTTAAAATGAAATAAAATTTTCTGTTATAGCATTTACAAGGTTTAAGTAGTTACAAATGTAAATTTTTGTTATACTATAGGGGAGAAAGAGAGGCTGGCTGACTCACATACCCAACTATAGTTTTAAATTAAAATTGTAATTTAATTAGTGTGGAAATTAGAACACTATAAATGTGAATATGGAAAAATTCTAATGAAAGCACATAGACAGATGCAGTGAGGATCAAACGTTCAAAATTTTGAAATGTAGTCGAAACTTGAACTGAACTAGAACTAACCTAGAACTGAACTAGAACTGAACTAGAACTGAACTAGAACTGAACTAGAACTGAACTAGAACTAAACTAGAACTGAACTAGAACTGAACTAGAACCTGAACTAGAACTGAACTAGAACTGAACTAGAACTGAACAAGAACTGACTAGAACTGAACTAGAACTGAACTAGAACTGAACTAAACTGAACTAGAACTGAACTTAGAACAGAACTAGAACTGAACTAGAACTGAACTAGAACTGATCTAGAACTGAACTAGAACTGAACTAGACTAGACTAGACTACAGAACTGTGTAATATGAATTTCATTGCAATTTAAAATTTCACAAAATTATGTCATTTTTGCTTTTTTACTGTAAAGCCATTTATGGAAGCTCCCATAAATAAATATGATTCATATTCATGTATGTATATTATTGCCAGTTTGTATGTGGTGTGTGATTTTATTATGATTGTTTTTAAAGAAAAAAAAAAAAAAAATGAAAAAAAGAATTTGAAAATTTTTAGTGGTTGTGTGTGTTTTGTAAACATACTGTGTTTTAGAGACGTGCCTTCATTTCATATGCAATGCCACAACAACAACAAAACAAATGTTTGTAAAATTAGTATACACTGTGCAAAAAAGGCTGACTATAGACTATAAATTTAGCATATAGACATGTTGAACTAGATATTAGACTATAGACGATACTATGGCGAAGAATGTAGATTATACTATATACTAGACTATACTATAAACTAGACTGCAGACTATACTATAGACTAGACTATAGCCTAGAATATA